TTTTTTTTTTTTTTTTTTTTTGCAGTACAGGTGATTGGAACCAGGCCCTTTGCATTGAGCCACATCCCAGCCCTGACCCAGCCTGGGACTCTGCTCAGCCTAAGCACATGCACTGCCATTGAGCTGCACCGCCAGCCCAGGCACCTACTTATACTAAATCATGTATTCACACGGCTACTGTTGTTACCCAGGAGGTCTGGGGTGCTCTAGGCTCCTCCTAGAGATTCGAGGTTCTTGTTCTGAGCAAATTGGACAGGAAAAAGGTCACAGTAACCATGAGGGCAACGGCAGCCACTTCTATATGTTCCATTCCTGCTGACATCAGATCTGGACTGTCCTATCAAAAACCTTCTTGATTGCATGTAGGAACAATCGAAGATCGCGTTCTCTGGCTGGGTCTGCATGCAGGGCCTGCCAGCACGTGTCCGGATCTCTGTGGTGGACAGACCACGCCCACTGGCCAGACAGCTGGCCATGGCCTAATGTCCTACCTCACTGTTTAATCCTCACAACAGCATCATTTCACCTCCAGGGAGGCCAAGTGCTCCACGTTGTCCTACCTGCTGCTGGTCAGCCTCACCCAGAAGCTGTCCTCACGGAGCATCTTGTCACTCGGACAGCAGCCATGCGCCTTTCTTCCTTACAGACCAGCTCCTTGGCTTCTTCTCTCACATGTGCTACAATGCACCCATCCTGTTCAGAATTCAAACATACCATGCATTTTTTACTTCACAGGCAAAATAAAGTGTTTTCAGTAGTACCCTTGGCTGTACTACAGATTTTGTAATAGTGCCGTAAATAAACCTTACACAGATGGTGCTCCATGGTCATATCTTTTTTCTATTCATCAGGTGAGCTAGAAGATCAATATATAATTCGATTTATGAAAGAAAAGCTAAGATCCATGCCTTGTAGGAATCAAGGTTACATCTTGGATGGATTCCCAAAGACTTATGATCAAGCGAAAGACCTGTTCAGTCGTAAGTTTGAATGTTCGCTATGTTTTAATTGTATGTAGGTAAAGTTACAATTTTATTATCCAGAGAAATATTGGTTCAGTTAGGTAAACAAAGCATTGGACATCATTTTTGTGTCTTCACTGATCTTTATTGGGTGCATAGGTTTAAGTTTTTAATTTTATTCTGTTATACCATGAACATATTGTGAGATTTGCCCTCATAAGCTTGGTTGGTTGGTTGGTTGGTTGGTTGGTTGGTTGGTTGGTTGGTTGGTTGGTTGAAGATAGTCTCACTATGTAGTTCAGGCTGGTCTCGAACTCATGACAATTCTCTTGCCTCAGCCTCCCAAATATTGGGATTCCACATGTGCGGCACCATGCCTGGCTCAGCCTCTTAAATTTTGGAGTACAGAACACATTATTGTTGCCTCAACACACTATGTTGTTCAACTCTCTAAAGGGTATTTATCTTGCTGGACTGAAAGTTTATGTCCACTGATTCGTAATTCTCCTTTTCTGTGTCCCGTAGCCCCAGGAAATCACCAACTCCCCTTCCCTCCCATGAGGCTGTTTAGGACCCCTCCTCTCAGTGGAACCGTGTAGCACTTGTTCTGTGACTGGCTTATTTCATTAGCAGGATGTTTTCAAGGCTCATGCATGTGGTGCACTGTGGAAGAACTTCCTTTTTTAAAGCTGACCAGCATGCCATCGCATGTGTGGGTGCACTGCTTTTTTAAGTTACTTATTTGTTTATTGCAGTACTGGAAATTGACTGCAGGGTCTTAACACAGAGCTACATCCCCAGCTCTCTCTTAATTTTTATTTTGAGATAGAGTCTTGCTAATTCACTAGGTTGTGAACGTTTGATTCTCTTGCCTCAGCCTACCAGAGCACTGGGATTACAGGTGTTTCCACACCTGACTTTTACATTTTCTTTATCCATTCATGTGTCAGTGGACTTGGAGGCCAGAGATTCTCTCTGAACTTCATGCTTTATTTACTGCAAGTTTTCTTGAGTGATTGCTAGTTAAGGTACAGCACTGAAATTTTTTGCTGTGACAGGTATGTTAATAAATGTAACTATGTATATTTTGTCTTACTAGAGGAAGATGAAGAAGAGGAAGATGTTGAAGCCAGAGGCAAAGCATTTCCTGTTGATAAATTAATTATACCTGGTAAGCTTAAGATTTTTTAAAAAGTAGCACTGTTCAATATGTGTTTGTCTTCTTCATTTTCTTTTTTTTTTTAATTTTATTTATTTATTTGTGTGTGTGTGTGTGTGTGTGTGTGTGTGTGTGTGTGTGTGGCCAGCTCAGCCCACCAGGGGGCGGTGCTGGCTGGCATGTGATGCTGGGGGATTGAACCGCAGTCCCTGTGCTTTGCCAAGCTTGTTCCAAGTAGGTGCCCTAGACCACTGAGCCATCTCACCAGCCCCTTCATTTTCTTCTCCTCCTCCTCCTCCTCCTCTTCTTTTTCTTTTTAAAATCATTTATTTATTTATTTATTTATTTAGTAACAGGGTCTTGCTATGCAGACTGGTAGTCATCCTCCTGTCTCAGCCTCCCCAACACTGGAATTACAGGCATGCACCACCACGCCAAGTTACAGTGGTCGGCATGGCATGCCTGGGGATTGAACCTGAGTCCTTGCATTTGCTAGGCAGACACTTAGACTGCCAAGCTGTCTCTCCAGCCCTTCTTCTTTTTCTTTATTTCCTAGTAGTATTGAATTGAGCCTGGACAATTTTTTGACATAAACTCTTACTAAGTGGCCCAGACTGTCCTCAAACTTGTGGCACCCCTCCTGCCTTAGCCTCTCATGTGCTGGGATTATAGGCTTGCACCACCATGCCTGCCCAGAGGCAGCACAGCTCCCCATAGGGGCCTCAGGGGAACACAGTGTGGTCAGCAGGTAGAGGTAGGAGGAAGGGGAGCTGAGGGTCTCTATAGGAAAGCAAGGAAAGCTGTGTGAAAGTAGGGGGCAGTGACTGCTGGGCCAGTGGTGGGGCCTGGCCTGCATGTAACTCAAAGAAGGGAGAGGATCTCAAGGACTAACTAATCAAGAGAGGGAAAGGAGAAGAGCTAGGAAACATGAGTAAGTCAAGTCATACAGTTATATGTAGAAGATGGGCAAGGCAATGATCCTGAGAATCTCCAGAAGATTTTTGAATCTAGCAGTTAACTGGAAAAATTCTCACCCTG